GAGTGAGCCACTGGGCCGGCCCCTCAAGGCTGTAATTTTAATCACATCTGTAAAGTCCCTTTGGCCAGGTTAGGTGGCGTATTTACAGGTGACAGGGATTAGGGTGTGTTATGTTTTCAGTGGTGTCCCTTCCAAAACTCATGTTGAAACTTATTCCCCAATGTGGCAGTACTGAGAGGTGGGGCCTTTGAGAGGTGATTGTATCATGAGGGCTCTGTCCTCATTGATGGGTTAATCCACTCATGGATTAATGGATTAAGGGTTAACGAATTAATGGGTTATCATGGGGGTGGAACCGGTGGCTTTAGTAGTGGGGAAAAAGAGACCTGAGCGAGGACACTCGTCCTGTGTGATGCTGTGCACCGCCTTGTGACTCTGCAGAGAGCCCCCACCAGCAAGAAGGCCCTCACCAAATGCGGCCCCCTGAGCTTGGACTTCCCAGCCTCCAGAACCATAAGAAGCAAATTTGTTTGTTTATAAATTACCCGGTTTCAGGCGTTCTGTTATAAGCGATAGGAAACGGACTAAAACAGGGCATGAACACGGTTCTCTGAAACTTCTGGATCTTTCACTCTTCCACCCCCTCAATAAAAAGTTCTGAGTACAGAAATTATGATAAAGAGGGCCCACTCTTCCTCTATTCAGGCTTCCCTTTCTCTAAGAGATCTGTTTCTAGCAGGGGCCCTTTGGTGCAGCATAATTCTGAGCTCCCTACCTGTCCAGTTCCAGCTTCATCTGTTACCCTGGGGCTCAGAAGCAGCAGTTTCCTATCAGCTGCTTCTCCCTACGGAGCTTCCCAGCTGGGATTAGTTACAGAGGGAAAGGACTGGGCAACCATTTCTTCCCTGCCTCAGAGTCAGCAAAGGCTCCCAGGCCCGCCTCCAGGGTGCGAGTCAACATCACACAGATGGAGGCTAGAGGTGACAAGGGAAGAGGGAATAAGATGACAAGATTGACGTAGATCTCAGCTCCAGATGGTTGAGGCTCAGTATGCTAGAAGCATAGGCTGAATTTAACAGGAGCACATTTATTCCTGTCAATTTTCTAGTCCTTTGCTTGGGATCAAATGGTCAACTGCCCAGGAACAGCATGGGCGAGGCTGGACTTTTAACCTCAGTTTTGGTAGGTGAAAGCAAGACCCACCTGTGACAGGAGTCACCCTCAACCCCCTTGGAAGATAGAACTGATTCAACCTGTGTGATGACCAAGCTGTGGTCCCCTCCTCCCCTCCTAGAATCACAAACGTCCTTCTAGAAAAGTGGCAATCTCTAGAAAAGCTAGGGAAATTTTCAAGGGATTGATATCTCTAAACACAAACAGTCAAAGCTAGAAAGAATGGAGCTGCCCAGTCTGCAGATCTGGGAGAGAAGCTCAGCAGCAATCGTCTTCTCTTCCCCACTCCCAACACACACACACACACGCACACACACGCACGCACGCACACGCACACACGCACACGCACGCACACACACGCACGCACATGCACACACGCACACTCACACACGCACACGCACGCACACGCACACACACGCACACTCACACACGCACACGCACGCACACGCACACACGCACACACACACATGTACACACACGCACACATGCATGTACACCTACATACAACCTTAAGTGGTGGAGTTAAAGGCAAAGCACAGTCGCATATGGTCACGCACACAGACTCTGGAGCCAGAGAACCCAGGTTTAAGTCCTAGCTCCATCCACTTGCTGTTTCCGTGTGCTCGTGCGAGCTTGTTAACCTCCATCTCTCTGTTCTTCAGCAATGATGATTACAACTTCTTCACAGGGTTTTTATGAGGATTAAATGAGTTTGTGTCTGCGAAGACAGAAGAGTGCCTGGGCATACTCATAATACGGCTTTCTTAAATAGTAAAAATATATAATCTGCTCTGTGACAAGAATCTGGAAGCCCATTCTTTGGTTGAATATACTTTAGTAGCTACACGTCCCTATTAAGTTTTCAAGTTTAATTAACATGAAAAAGTCTAGGGCACATTCAGACTGAACAAATATGGTTGTGGCTATTAGGTTACAGAAGCCCATTCTTTGGTTGAATATACTTTAGTAGCTACACGTCCCTATTAAGTTTTCAAGTTTAATCAACATGAAAAAGTCTAGGGCACATTCAGACTGAACAAATATGGTTGTGGCTATTAGGTTACATTAGTAGTAAAATACTTTCTAGACTAGAACAAAGGAGATGACAATTTTACTGTTTTCTATACTGGTCAGATCATAGTTACAGTCAGTCATTCTCAGAGCCTGAGATATTTTGGTGTTCTTTCTACTTATACTTAGTGCACTGGCCCACGGTTTTGATAGGGAATCAAAGCATTTTTAATTAGAATCAACAGTTCTAATGAAGGCCTCACTCTGTCCTTTAGATAAATTTGTCTCTCAACAGTGAGCACATTTTGAGACCTCAGCCAGTAGATCTTGCTGGCCTGCCACCTTACAGATCCAGCCTGGAGCACTGAGCCTCTGTGTTCCTAGACATCTCAAGTGGTGTCTGCCACAACTAGAAAGAGATGCCAGTGTTGGCAAGGCTGGTGAGAAGACTTGAGATGTGACAAAAGCAGACTATTGGAAACAATCACCACTGTTAGGCTGAAAGCTGGAGGACACGAGAAAGCTGTAAGAGCTGGCTTCAGACCACAGCAAAGGCTGTCACAAGGGACAGAGTAAGAGCAAGAGCACTTGTTAGATGCTGACCTTGCTTGGGCTTTTATCTAATTAA